GAGATGTAGAAGGAGTGCATATTGAGATTTTAGGTGTGTTAATAAATTATTTCTATTTTTTATTTAAATACATATTAATAGAATCTTCACTGTTAATTAAAACGTTATGAAATTATCATTTTCTCTCTCTAATTAAAACTGAATATAAATAAGAAATATTGGCAGAAATGTAATTTTATACAACTAAAATTTTATTTATTTTTTTTTAAGTCTCATCTACATATAATTTTAATATATCTCTAATTAAAAAAATAAAAAATAAAAGATTTTTACACACTTTATGGGGGCCATGTACTAATTCTTAATTTAAAACAATATTCTACGCTAATGTTTGAAAAGAAAATATAGTTTTTGAAATAGGAGAAATATTCGAAAAGGCAGAGATCTATGCCAAGTAAAAGGATCCTCGTCGGATCATTTTTCTGAGGATCTTAGGGATCCAGTGATCTTGTTCATTTATCATATATTAGGCAGTCAAAAATTATTAGGTACTATTTATATTTAATTTAAAATTTAAAATTTTAATATGATTTATAATTGCACAATGTAAGATAATAGATATATGCCAAGTAAAAGGATCCTCGCGTGATCATTTTCTTAAGGATCTTAAGGATCTAGTGATCTTGTCTATTCATCGTACATCAGACGATCAAAAATCATTAGGTACTATTTATATTTAATTTTAAATTTTAAAATAATTTATGATTGCACGATGTATGATAAACGGACAAGATCACTGAATTCCTAAGATTGCCGGATCCTTTACCTTATGCCCAAAGGCACTTGGGAAAGTAAAGAGACGTGTCCAAAGCCCCGGGCGACGCGTAACCAATAAAATGGAGGCCAGCAGCAAAGCACAGCCGTAAAGCAAAGAAAAAGCGCGGCCACATCCTCACATTCCAGATTCAAAGAATGCCACATCATCTACCACACGTGCGCTTCCCTACCTTAATCGGTACGAACTCCCAAACGCACCGGTTCGCTTCACTCTCCCTCCCCCTCTCCGTATATATGCCACTCTACGTTCCGCTCTCCACCCTCTCCCTCTCTCGCTCTCTCCCCTCCAGAGAAAAAAGAAGAAAAGGAAACAAAAAAATAAAAAATCAAAACAAATTCTCCATTAAATTTTTCCCAAAAAATAAAATTCATTCCATTTCGAGCAATAGAAACCCTACTCATCACTCTAAACACAAAGAATCCTCCGCAAACCCTCACCCTTTCCCTAATTTCCGATTTTTTAAATTATTTATTCGATTATTTTTGACAATGGCGGCGGTAGTATCGGGTCCGGTGGCTCAACCAGTGTCTCCGGCCGCTCAACAGGCGCCGCCGGTTGCGGCTCCGGCGGTTTATGGGAACGTGTCGCTGTACGTAGGCGATCTGGACCCGAGTGTGAACGAAGCGCAGCTGTACGATCTGTTCAACCAAATGGGGCAGATCGTTTCGATTCGGGTCTGTCGGGATCAGAACCGCATGCACTCCCTTGGCTATGCCTACGTTAATTACGGCGATCCTCAACACGGTCCGTACTTTTCGCATTCTCGTAATCTGTCTCTGCGTTTGCCTGTTTGATTCAACACACAATCTCTGTCTTTTGTGTTCCGTGAATCTCATTTGTTTACTAATTTAATTTTTGCTTTTGTTGCTGTCGGCTTGTGGGATTTTGTTTCCTTTTTTTGTGAATTTGTCCGAAGATTCTGTAATCGCATTGCTTATTGTTTAAACATTTGTCTTTGTTTATGGGTGAAGTTGTAGACTTGTAAAGGATGAAACAAATTAGTGAATATTTTATTACGGCCGTCATTTGAAGGAAAAATATATATTTTTCTATTAGGAATTGGTCTCTGTAATTTTTCTGCCATTTAACTTGCAGCTGCTAATGCCCTGGAAGTGTTGAATTTTACTGCGATCAATGGGAAACCCATTAGGATTATGTACTCTCATCGAGATCCAAGCATTCGGAAGAGCGGAAAGGCCAATGTATTCATTAAGAACCTGGACAAAAGTATTGATCATAAGGCGTTATTGGACACTTTTTCAACCTTTGGCAACGTTCTTTCTTGCAAGGTTGCACTTGATAGCAGCGGTCAATCGAAAGGCTATGGGTTCGTGCAGTTTGACAATGAGGAATCTGCACAGGAGGCAATCAAGAAGCTGAATAAAATGCTGATAAATGGAAAACTGGTTTATGTAGGACTTTTTCAACGAGGCCAGGAGAGGAATCAGCAAAATGAATCACCACATTTCACTAATGTTTATATGAAAAATTTGTCGGAGACAACTACAGATGAAGACCTTAAGAAAATTATGGGCGAGCATGGTAACATTACTAGTGCGGTTGTTATGAGGGATGGTTCTGGAAAGTCTAGATGTTTTGGTTTTGTTAACTTTGAGAAGCCAGAAGCAGCAGCTGCTGCAATTGAGAAGTTGAATGGGAGCACCATTAGTGGTGACAAGGTTTTATTTGTCGGGAGGGCTCAAAGGAAATCCGAGAGGGAGGCGGAGTTGAGAGCTAAGTTTGAACAGGAAAGACTCAGTAGATTTGAGAAGCTACAAGGTGCTAATTTATATCTCAAAAATCTCGATGACACAATAAATGATGAAAAACTAAAGGAGCTATTTTCTGAATTTGGAACAATAACATCGTGCAAGGTATATCTTATTTCAACTGTAATACTGGTTTGCCTTTCCTGCTTATGTCTCCTTTGTAGGTCCTTTCGGAAGGTTAGCTATAGTTATTATTTCGAAGCTTCCTAAAAATAATTATTAAAAGAACAATGTTCATTTTCTTTATTTTTTCAAGGTCATGCTTGATCAGCAGGGGGTGAGCAAGGGTTCGGATTTGTTGCATTTTCTACTCCAGAGGAAGCCAATAAAGCTGTAAGCTTTTTATTATATGCTGAATTCTTGGAACATCCCGCAATGCTTCATCCCCCCTCAGTTTTGTGTAATTTTTGCGTTAATAACTTCCCTTTTCCCTTCTTCAGTTGCCTGAAATGAATGGCAAGATGATTGGACGAAAGCCTCTGTATGTCGCTGTGGCCCAACGCAAAGAAGAGCGAAAGGCTCGATTACAGGTAGTTTTCTTCATTGCACCTTCCTTTTATCGTTTTGGAATCTTTAATAATTTTTTTGGTTGATGTAGAATTATACTTGTAGGTTCTCATTTGAGGATAAAAATTATAAAGAATGCTTTGCAGAACCAATTATTACTAAACCGATCCAGATAGTGCTGGCTTTCCTTTCATTTATTAACATTGTAATTTTACATGCCTCGGATATATTGCATTTCTCTGCATTTTTGATAGAAAGGATCTGCATAGGGCTCGTTGTACTTTAGGAGGGGGGCTCTGCTTATACATTTTGAGTCCGAAAGCATAGCTATATAAAGTTGATTTCCTTTTCTAAAGCTGATTAACTCCAATGTACAGGGCAGGAGTACTAAATTTATTATCTTATATTTTGCTTCTCGATAATCGAAGCCTCAATTGTCACTTAAATCCATTATTCCAAAGAAACTTTACGAAGGTGACCTTTCTCATTTTTTTTCAGGCACGCTTTGCCCAAATCCGAGCACCAGGTGGAATGATGCCATCAGGACTTCCTGGTTATCATGCTGGGGCACCTAGACTTGCCCCTCAACAATTGTATTATGGTCAAGGTTCTCCTGGCCTTCTACCCCAACAGCCTGCTGGTTATGGCTTCCAGCAGCAGCTCTTGCCTGGCATGCGCCCGGGTGTTGGTCCAAACTTCATTATGCCATACCACCTTCAGAGGCAAGGTCAACCTGGGCAGCGAATGGGCGCACGTCGAGGTGGGAACCTCCAACATGTGCAGCAGCAGCAGCAGGTGGTGCAATAATTTCCTGATTTGGCATAGCAGTTTTCTTTTCATTTAGTCAAAACTTCATTACCACTAATGGGTTTGCGTAATTTAATTATTGGGCATTATGCATTACATTACTACAGCACCTGCTCAATAGTCACTTGCGTAATTGCATTATCAATTACAATGCATTATGTTCTGCAGCACATGCTCGATAGTCACTATTGTCAGTTTTTTCTTTCAACTTTGATATTTTCTGACTCAACCATAATTTCAGTTACTGCACCGTCACTCCAATCAAGGCTTGAGATACATGGGAAATGCGCGGAATGGAGTGGACCCATCTTTGGCTCCTCAAGGTCTTGTGGGTCCAATGATGCCTTTGCCACTTGATGGTGCAGGGCTGCCTGTGACTCGTAATGATATCCATCGTTCTGGGCCGTTGCCAATGTCAACACTTGCTTCAGCTTTAGCTTCTGCTACCCCAGAGAATCAGCGTTTGGTATGTTCTTTAACCCTCTTGTTATTTCTCCTTCAACCTGCGTTACATTTGATGCCACTTGTGTTTTTATTCTAGACTTACTAGTTATTATTGTGTTTGAAAAGATGCTGGGCGAACAACTATATCCACTTGTTGAGCGCATTGAGCCTGAACACACGGCTAAGGTGACTGGGATGTTGCTAGAGATGGATCAGACGGAGGTTCTCCATCTGATTGAGTCTCCAGATGCCTTGAAGGCCAAGGTAGCTGAGGCAATGGATGTTCTGGATAAAGCTGCAACGAAGTCTGAAGTTACTGATCAGCTTGGTGCATTGGATCCGAATGAGTGAATCTTCTTTTTCTTCACATTTTTGGGTACTAAGGCTCCGTTTTGTTACTGGCCTAGATGACTTTGCGTTGGTAGTCGGATTTTTTTTCTTCCATAAGAATATTGATAGGTACTTGCATGGAGGGATTTAAGGACCTAAGGTTGCTAGAAGTTTGGTCAGCGTCTTTCATTTTCTTAGAATTATTATAACAATTTTTAATTTAGAATTTCAAGTTGAATTTTTTGCTGGAATATTTTCACCTCTCTCCCTCTCTTTCATATTGTGCTTCATTTTTTACGTATGTGTAATCATTTTATCGTTGTCAAGAGGCGTAAGGGTTAGTCTCTCGGCAACTGCTTCTGCAGTCAAAACGGAAAATAGGTGCAACTGCTTCTGCAGTCATGGAAGCAATACTGTGCGCAGTATAAAAATGCATTATGCTTGTTTCAGTGAAAAAGTGCAGTACCATTGAAGCAACAACACTCAGTCGGGGGCAGTAACACATCTGGAATCAAAGCAGATCTTTGCCAATCGCTGGACAATGTTGTCGCAAACCTGTACTCTTCAACTCTTGAAACAAGCTTACAGGAAATCAGGATGAATGTCATCTTCTACCGTCTCATCGTTTGCCAGAACTGTCCCATAGTTTGTAGTTGTCTTGTCAATTTCGTTGCTGCATTGGCCTGCATTGTCTGCATGTTTTCTCCTTGTAATGAGTCGCAAGCTGCAATCGTCATCCTCGTCTTGGGTTACATAGTCACTCCATTTAGAAGCACCAGTTAGTGTAGCCCTTGTAACCTGACATGTTCTTCTCGGTTCCTGCTCATCTCTTGCTATAAAATGCCTCTGTACTTGTGAACTCTCCTTGGTGTTTGTCAGCTCGCACTTCACCTGCTCTGTGTCTGTCATTCAAAATGCATTCACGTTAATCATAGTCCGATGGTATGATCCTTCAACTTACTCGCCGCTATGCTTCGCAATTGCTCTCGTTGCCAATCATTCTTATTACGATTTCCAATTACGAAATTCATACGACATAATCCATCCGTATTACTTCACTAATCCCTCTCACAATGAATACTTTTACTCGCTAATTCAATGGTCTGGACCAAGAAAAGAAGGCTCAAGAGAAAAGCTTACTTAAATATACCTTGTGGAAGGGAGATGACATGTTTGTTGAAATTCCTCTTAGAGAAAACTCGTTTGTGACTGTGCAGCTCATCTACACCATATTTGCTCAGCTTTGGATTCTTCCACAACTCCGCCGGAAACTCTGTTACAATCTCAGGCTCAAAACCAGAACCTGCACTGAAACCAATCAACCGATAAACACGTTAGAATTCCCCTCTCTGTTTTCCCCAATTTCAAACTTCAACCATAACCCAAAACATCTCATTACCTGCTTCGTCTTCTGGCTTCACGTTGGCGCCCTGATCACTGTCCTCAGGGTCCAGGTACTGGGTCCAGTAATTTCGTCTTCTCTTTTCAGTCTTGTACGAGCAATCGGAAGAAATAAGAGTACCTTGTTCTTGCCGCTGTTGCTGTTGCTGTTGATCATTGGTTTGCTGGGCGAACTGGCGAGACATGTTGGAGGACTGGACGAAGAGGCGGAGGTCTTTGGCCATGGGACCTTGAGCAAACACTTGGCGGACGGACTGCTTCTGATTGCAGACGGCGCATGTCCACTTGTTGCTTTTGTTCCTCTGCTTCACCTGCAAATTTAATCGGCATTCATCGCCAAACAAAATCATCAAGTTTCAGCTTCAAGTGTTCGTACACACACATACATACATATACACACGCATGTACATACCTGCATGGTGGAGCATTGGCAGCACTGAACTGCGATGAACACGGTCGGCATTTTCTTCTCTGCTTTCTGATTTCACAAGTCGATGTGGGATTTTGGTATTACTGAAAATTTTGGCGGCGTTTTGATTTGGGGTTTGGGCGCCAAATTTTGGGGATTCAAAATCCCACAGAGAGGAGTATTTAAGTATTTGTAGAGTTTTGAGGGAAATAATCTTTTAATTTTATTTTAATTGTTATATTTAAATTTGCATTGTCTGATTATTCATAAAAAAACATAGAGCAGAAATCGAAAATATATTTTTGATTTGATATTGTTTTTTTTTTCAAATCAAAAATATATTTTCTTATCTCTGTCATTTATCTTCTTCAACTTCAAGCCAATTGGCGCAATCATGTTTCTAAATGGGCGAGCAAAGCTTTTGGTACATGAATAGAAACACAAATAGGGACTTATTTTTAGAGTTTTCAAGAGAATATTCGAGTTTTTAAAGGAGTATTGTCTACAACAAGAGGTTTTTATAATATAATCCTTAAATGTTGAGATTAAAATATTGAAAACTCGTTATTTATTTTGTTGGAGTATTGTGGTCGTTGATAAAAATTAAAGATGGAGTTTTAACAAAAAACCCACAGTACAGTTCACTTTAACAAAAAATCACATTTTTACACTAAAAAGTCAATCCTGTACTATTCACTTTACCCTTTATTTTGTCGTTATGATTAAAACTTAAAATTTTCAAACCTTTTTCATTAGTTTTCGTAATTAAAAAACTATTTCTAACGTTGAGTTCCCAAATGTGCAAAATAAAAAATAAAAAACGTTACAAGCATGACTAGCATTCACGTGGGTGGGGTTCATATGGATATGGTTTTATTTCTGTCATTTAATCTTCTTCAACTTCAAGCCAATTGGCGCAATCATGTTTTCTGAATGGGTGAACAAAGCTTTTGGTACATGAATAGAAACACAAATAGGGACTTATTTTTAGAGATTTCAAGATAATATTCGAGTTCTTAAAGGAGTATTGTCTGCAAAGAGAGGTTTTTATAATATAATCCTTAAATGTTGGGATTAAAATATTGAAAACTCGTTATTTATTTTGTTGGAGTATTGTGGTCGTTGATAAAAATTAAAGATGGAGTTTTAACAAAAAAACCCACAGTACAGTTCACTTTAACAAAAAATCACATTTTTACACTAAAAAGTCAATCCTGTACTATTCACTTTATCCTTTATTTTATCCTTATCATTAAAACTTAAAATTTTTAAATATTTTTCATTAGTTTTCGTAATTAAAAAACTATTTCTAACATTGAGTTCCCAAATGTGCAAAATAAAAAATAAAAAACGTTGCAAGCATGACTAGCATTCACGTGGGTGGGGTTCAAAAAACAAAAAACAAGAAATAGTTGTGCAGCATTCACATATGGATATGGTTTATTTCCCACTCAAAATCAACAGTAGAGCCAATAAAAACTAGTAATTGCTCAAAATCAACAGTATGGCTAAAATAGTTCAGGGCTCTTCAAATAAACTAGTAATTGCTCAAAGCTCTTTAAGGAGTTAGAAGGAAAGTGATAGCCAATAAAAACTAGTCACGTAAAAAATGATAGCCAATAAAAACTAGTCACGTAATATCTTTTATTGTCATCTATCACACCATTAAAACAACAACAAAAATTAGAATACTGAATTTTCTGAATATTGTCAATTTAAAGGGCTAGATTTCATATTTAGCCATTGGACTTGGTTTAATTAACAAATTTTTAACGTGTAAAAGTACAACTAGACAGTTGAAAATGAAATTAGCTAGTTGTGTGACACCAAGAGCACCCAAAATCATAGTGGAGATTGATAAAATGTGACAAGTGAGTGACAACATTTACATTAAAGAATAACAGAGTAGATTACATCTCACAATATATAATTCAAATCTGCTTTTTCACGAGGATTAAATCTAAAATTTTAATAAAAACCCTGTTAGAACCTAATTCCTTTCCAAAACCCTGTTAGAACCTTGATTCCTTTCCAAAACCCTATTAGAACCTAATTCCTTCCCAAAAACCCATTGCCCACTTCCATGTCCTTGGACTCTCACATAGAGAGGGTCCTCTGGACTCCGGACCAAATCGCCACCCGTGTCTTCGACCTCGCCGCCCAGATCTCCGCCGACCTCTCCCCCTTCTCCGAACCCCCTGCCCTCGTAGGCGTCGCCACCGGCGCCTTTCTCTTCCTCGCCGACTTGGCCCGCCAAATCACCCTCCCCGTCACCGTCGACTTCATCCGCGCCGAATCCTACGGCTCCGGGACCCTGTCCAGTGGCTCCCCCACGATTTCCTTCGACTTGAAGCTCGACGTCACCGGCCGCCACGTCGTCCTGGTACGCCCTCCTTCCTTACCCTATTCTCTGCAAGACTGCAACTCTATCCACAGTTGTAATTGTAACTTCATTTTGTTCCTAAATGCGACGCCGTTTCCTGTGTCTTTTAGGTTGAGGACATAGTGGATACGGGGACTACAATCGCGCATCTGATTGCGCACATGGAATCGAAAGGTGCTTCGTCTGTGTCGGTCTGCACATTTCTGGATAAACCATCGAGACGGAAGGTTGATTTTCAGCTTCTCAGCAAGGGAAAATTCTACCGCGGTTTCGAGGTCAAATCCGTTTCTTCTTCCCCATTTTTATTCTTTAGCTGCATTGAATCTGTTGTAAACAATGATATATTACTCTGAAAGCTGTTTAGAGGAACCCCGCATTTGATGCTTGATTGATTCGGTCTTCTTTCAATGGATAATTATTTGGACTGCTTAATGCGTTTGCACGAAAATCGTTTACTATTCTTTGTACAATCAATCATCGATACATGATTTAGAAAATGCATTTTATACAAATGTGAATGAAGAGGAATAGCTAATAAAAATGCCGTGTGAGGTCGATCGCCCCTACCCGGCCTCTATTGGTTCCAGGTTCTAAGCTGGTCAAGACTGTTATCATAGAAAAGTTGCGGAATCATTACCTATTTTGGGTATATGTATGTTATATGGAGTAATGTTATATGTTGCGAGACTGCTTCCCATGAGAACTTTCCTCGTGTGTGTAGGATATTCTCAAATTAAGTACTTGAATCCAGACATGGTTTTCATCCTCTAAATCACGTGGCGGTGACTCAGATGATCTATAATCTAACAGCTGAGAATTTATATATAGATGTCATGGCATTATTGTATTGATTTTCTATGTGGAACTCTTAGAAGCTCTGAAAATGAACTTGATTTAAAGTAATGCGTTCTTCGCAAGTGTTGGACTTGTATGCCTGAGTATTACAGGTGAACGTTTTGTATTGTTTCTTGTCTTGTAAGTCTGAAGTTTTTTGGGCTTTGGAAATTCATTTATACGCTATCAAACTTGTCTGTTTATTTGTCTCTGCAGTGTCCAGATTACTTTGTTGTGGGCTATGGAATGGACTTTGCTGAACGTTACAGGAACTTGCCATACATAGGTGTTTTGAAGCCGGAGCTGTATAAGTGATCTGATTTTAGCTGCCACGATGAGGAAAGTAATTTACTCACAGTTTAGGAAGTGATCAGATATGGAGATGATTGGTGTCACTTTCGAGCATGTACTTCATACAATGTTTGAACAGAGTGTAGCTGGTTCAAATACATGAGCACGCTTACTGAAAGTATACTATGTTTGAACAAAGTTTAGCTGGTTCAAATACATGAGCACGCTTACTGAATATATATTCACCATTTTAGACTGCATATGTATGCATCGATTAATTCCGTGGTGTCATTTTCTTTTTCTTCCTAACCTTTAATGTTGTGGTATCGTGATGTGAAGACTGGTTTTCTTGTTTTCTTTTTAGCATGCAAGATGCTTTCTTGGAACTGTTGGCTGCTGGTGTAGATCTTTTGAGAATGCAGCTAAGAAATAAGGAATTGAGAAAACCGAGGGAAGGAAGAATTTATGTTAAATTCAGAAAACTCCGCCCGGAGGAGTAGTATCAAGATGATAAAATTTTATGTAGCAATCACCAACTTGGTCTAGTGTAAGTTCGGATGCATGAACAACACAATCCCCCGACAACTTCGACTCCGGCAGTAACAAAAACGCAGGAGTACGAGTGCAGATGACAAAACCAGAACAAAGACTGGCGATGCCCTAGTGTTTAATTCCCAGGATTTGATTATCTTTTCGAATGCTCGGTTGCATACAATGGATTGTTGCATTCGTATTTTCATAGTGAGTTTTTTTGGAGCCGGAACAAGAAATCCCTATGCATGTTTTCGTGTTCTCGAGTAGGGTCCAAGGTTTTGATGTGCATGTGGGTGGACACCCACATGTTGCATGCCCTTAAAGAAAAACAGGGTTTGTTGTGTTGTGAAAATGATCGAATGCGAAATAAAATTACTGACTATTTGAGAAATAATGTCAAGGTGTTTGATAAGTTTTTATAATAAAATCGTTGTTGTCATGTTTCATTAAGGGAATTGTTATTAGCATTTCAAAATTTTCATTTGGGCACTTCTTACAAGTGTATTTTTCTTTCTAATTATAGAAAGTTTGGAGTACCAAATGAGATTTTTGAAGTGCTAATAACAATTCTTTTAATTAAAATAGAAAATTGGTTAAAGTGATCATAAATTAAATTTTTGGAAGTGAGAGATTTTAAATTTGAATATGAATTCAATACCAAATTAAGCTGCTTATTGTGTCGCTTAACCGAATCGGATCCGCCTTGGCTTGGGTTGCATTCTTGAGTACCCGAATCTGTATTTAAATGGGGTTAGGATTGAGCTGTCCTTCCAACCCGCTCAATCTAGTTTCCGGGTTTATCTTGTCGGGCGACCATGAGAGGGTTTTATGACACAGTTATCCACCATTTCTCAGAGAACCAAAAAATTGATTTGCAAGGAAAAACGCACCAGGGTTTAGGCCTCTTTGCACCGCCACAGCCACACCGCCGCCAGCCCCGCCGGCGCGGTTGATTTCGAAGACGAGGTAGCCCAACCACTGAAGCACTCGTTGCGTCTCGAGAGGCTGCGGCCGCGACACCTCAAGAGCAATGCCAAGCGCCAAGCCAAAACCGGCGGCGGAAATTCAATCGGGGATGCCCAGAGTCAGAGCGATGAGGGGTTGGTGAGGTAGGAGAGTAGTAAGAAGAAG